TGACTTGGAGTGGCGTTTTGCTCGTTATTGCCGGCAAACTCAGCTGCGCTGGTCACTGCCGTCTTCCTGGATGGGGACCCCGAGAAGGGCCACATCAATGGCTAGAGACATTATCAGACATGGCCCAGTCGCGCCCTCAATGGCGCTCGTGCATCAAAGCTATTGCCTCCAATGCATAGCTCTTTTTCCACCCCCCCACTTGGCAGCCCACTGACAGCGCTGGATTTATGCACCAAATTACCAGCTCGCGCGTGCAATGCGCAGCTACCTACTCCCCCCACAAATCATCGGTGAACGAAACTGCGGCAGCTGCAACCACTGTACGACGAGTACGCGGTCTTACAGCTGACAATGATGATGATGACTTCTCTAAGGGACCATCCGAACGCCAATGACAGCGACGATTTGCTACTCGTACTCTGGCTGGTCGATCACGGGCTGCCGCTATTCCAGCACTGGATCGGGTTGGAAGGGCCGCTGAGTGGTCTGACGTTTTAAGCCCTATCTTTCCTCCTAAAGTAAGTTGGCTCTGCTGGACAAGCACGTTATTTGCATGATCTGGTTCATGGGGATTTTTGTTGGCTCTGGTTAGAGCGCGAGTTCACTGGCCGGATGGTCCGTGTTTCGAACCCAACCTCTGCAGCTCGACTTCCGTCTAGGCTTAGGTAACCTGACTATCCCTGCCCCCTGCTTCCTTCGGGTGACATGGCTTGGCAGTGAAAGAGTATTACAACTGAACGATTTCGATCCTGTCACCCGGCCTCAAATTATGCATCACAGTCTGTGTGTCTTCTCCGTGATCTCACGCTTATCTACGATTTGTGAATTCGCATCTGCGTATTGTTCTGTCGGGTCTCCGGGTAGAGTATGTCCTTAACAAGGGGATCATATGTGAAGACCGATTGGGCAAACAGCGCCATCTGCCACAGTTTCCCAGCGGGTAGTTCCACCTCTGAGATGACGCGCCATGTGACGTCCTTTTCGTGGAACTTTGGGGAGCTATTTTGAAGGGCTATCAATTTGTATGCATTCGGTTGGGATTTGGTAACATAAGTGGGACAGCTGTGTAGATGAACAACAAAACACTACTTTGTAAAAGGAGTGTACGGTCGAGAAATGCTATCGGATCATATTAAGCTACCCAGCTATCGTATAGTGGCTAGAAGGGCTGGGTGCGAGAGGGTAAGCGGCAGCCGGTAGGACAACTGCTTAGCTCAGGTTCCAAACACATGCGCATGTTTACTTGTGTGCCAAGGGTGTTTGATCGTTTATTAACACAAAGGTGTATCAATTCTCTTCGGGTCCGGAAGATCATGTGTTACAGTGCAACCTGACCCGCCAGCCTTTCACGACCCGCAACAGAACGGTATTTAGCGAATATACACTCATCTGCAAACTAAATAAACGAGAGATTCAGCTGGGTTCCAGGTGAGTCTCTCGAAAGAACCAAATTAGTTTGCAGATGAGTGTATATTCGCTAATTTCGTGCAATTTGGTTTCAAGTGGAACATAAGGTTGACGGAAACCCGGGGACTGCGCCTACCTGATGAGTCCCAAGAAGGGCGAAATCGGTCGTGGGCTGTCGATGGATTTTCAGCAACCTTATGAGTAGTACATCACAGAACGGTATTTGTTTCGGAAGTCAACCACTTGACTCTTTTTGATGTCGATTTCCATCTTTTCATGATCCTTGCGCAAACTCTTAGTCACTTATGACTGCATTTGTCACCATTATCGAAGGACTAGTGATGACGTGGTGATGGTGTTGACGTGGGCCAAAATAGTGTTTCTCACGTGCGAGTCCTGGCTGCTGGGATGCTGCTTGGGTAGGCTTACCGAATACAGCAGGAACCACATACTGGCCCCATAGTAAGTAACTACGTTCCAACTCTGCTACTCTCAAGAAGTTGAGTTGGATGTTCTGAACTCTTGCTGGATTGATTGACTGTATTTGGTTTTCAAGGTAGTGTGATTTTTGGCCGTTTTAGGAAGTGACTTATCCGGAAATCCCACATCCTGCTTCTGTTAAGTCTAATCACACTTTTCATTTGGTCAGCTTATGATACCAGCCGGCGCAGGATTGACAATAAGGGAAAACGGCAGTGGAGGGCTGTTGACAGGAATAGGCGTAGTCCCCGACTTTCCGTCAACCTTATGTTCTACCGGAAACCAAATTGGACGAAATTAGCTAAATACACTCATTTGCAAACTAATTTGGTTTTTGCGGGAGACTCAACTGGAACCCAGTTGAATATGTCGTTTATGTTCTGTCGAATATCGTAGTGACTGAAACATGAGGCGGCCCGGTGCAGCACATTCAGTTGCCTGAGAACATCACAAACGAGAGATTCATCTGGGTTCCTGGTGAGTCTCCCGCAAAAACCAAATTAGTTTGCAAATGAGTGTATTTCGCTAAAATGTCCTCATGTTCTGGTGACCACCTGCGTTGAGATGCTTCACAAGCCCAAGAGTTGTGTCCGTCCGATTATATGAACAGTAGAGTCTCTTGAGAACATGTTCATCGTGTTTGGAAATTTAGGTGATGGAACACTCCGTTTTATGTTTTGTTTGCATGACTTCCGGCCGGACTTATCTTCCAGGTTTCTCCCTAAACGGGATTCTACTGGAAGATCGGGACTGAAGAGCTTCGTTCCAAAGAGAGGCTCAGCCGGTCCACTCTTACGTATCCAGTCTGGAGATATCGTGGGAGGTGCAGTCGTACTCGGTCTTAGTGAAATAGCACTTACCAGCTCGTGACAAGCCTACTAAGACAGTTTTTCTAGCCCGATTTCATTTATCGACGGTAACGGGTCAGTGAGAGGCGATAATCCAGCCTGCGAAACACCTTATGAAGCTCCCCAATTTCTTAGTGTCTAGCCTTTGAGTTCAAATGCCTGTTCCCTAATCGTCTTCGCATCACCTTGTTATATCTGCGATGACTTCCACTGCACACAGTGGCTCTGAGATGGTTGAGATAGAAATATATGTAACGAAAAATCGAGTGTCTATTTTGTACCCATACTGAAAAAGAGAAAAGATGGGTTATCTGAATGACAGGCTCAAATATATATGTCCACATCGATTACATTTTCATACCTAAGGTCGTCATTTGTAATGAGAGTTCTTTTTCCTCGTGCGCAGTGCCACATATATCGTCGACCAAAAAATCGCATTGTCTGTGCTCTTAACACCATATGGGGGCTGATCAGAAAGTTTCAAGTTTGAGTAGTCGTAGCTTTTTTAATTAGTATGTCACTTCGAGGATGGAATAGACTTGCTCTTTGAGCGTCGCGGTAAATCTGCATCAGTCAAAATTCGATGAAAATCTTTGACGTATTTGGTATCGCATCGTATCCTATTCCAGCCATGTCGCTTAAGCTTCAAAAGCATTACCACTGGTGTGGCACGTTATTTGGCCTAATTTTTACCCTGCGTTTGGGTTTTATGAATTTCGACACAACTCGACCCCAAATATGATGCATAGTTCTCTACGATTGAGTAGTTCCCAGCTACGAATAGCTGGGTGCGTTTTAACTCTTATCAGCTAGTGTAAGTGTTCAACTTTTCTCCCGTTCTTTTGCGCTTAGAGAAGAGCCATCAATTGCCACCATTTAGTAGACAGGAACCCGTGAATCGATATATTTGATATACTCATCGGAGTGGGTTCCCCGTTCTTGACTTTATTAGCTTCATATCTCAGTGGTTGTCGATCTGTTGCCAACCTTTGAGATTTCAGTCCTGTGATACTAGGAGGGAGCAACTAGGTTCAACCGCCGGTGATTCTATCACTGATTATAAGGCGAGGATGTTAGGCAAGCACGCCACGGGACTCGCGGTATTCAATCGTTGCTTCAGGTCAGTATACCCGTCAAAGTATATGTTCGCCTGTTTAAATTGAGCTGAATAACAATTTTTCTTTGGTTACACAGTATAGGTTTTGTGCTACCTTATTTACCGTTTCCGTGTGATGGATCTTGAAGCTTCAGTTCATGTGCTTTGGACTTAAAACGCGGAGGCATTACAATCAAGGACATAAAGTAACCACTGTCTGAAAGCTTCACCAAATAGACTGACACAATATACAACAGTCGTTCACGAATACCATGGATGATGTTCACACCATACATCCTAAACGGCATAAATAATCGTTTTGCTATGCGTTTACGTTCTCTGTTTTAAGGTAAATTGGTTGGATTTCCCGTATGTGCACGTTCGTTTATGACTGCATTTACGTACTCGTGCGGAGTTGTGTTTTAATGTACCCCGTTTTCCTTACAGGTTCTGCGATTACTGGTCCGGTGGCCAAAGAATGCGCTGACATGTGGCCGAAAATTGCATCTACCGCGAGTTCTATCCACTAATTTGCAAATATGAAGTCTTTGGCGAGTGTGTTTGTTATCAGCGGCTGTTCCGCTTTGGGAAGGAAATGTTTGTCGAGTCAAGACAGTTCAAGAGCGAATTTTCAAAATATTCAGGGACGAACCATCATCGTTAATGTCACAGGTGAAATCATTGAGAACTCGCTTGTGTAAATAAAAGTCTCACCAGCGCCGAAAACCGTGTAAACCTTTAACAGACTACTAATTTTGCTGCAAAATTCCGTGGCTAACGCGTGCAAGTGCATAAGTCAAGTTTCAGACTTTATTGATCACGCTGTACGATGATGAACCATTGATCAACCTTCATGAAATAGTACGCTACGGCTTTTCTTTATTCCGCCTGAGGAGCTAGGCTGCTACACATTCATTGACTTGCATCATTCGGTGTCGAAATATAAAAACTGGTGTCATCTGTTTCTAATGAGCGTAAGTTGTAACAGCAAGACAGCACAAAAAACAGTGAGTGACTCAGTTGACTCATCTCGATAATTAGTTTGCTGCGACAAAGTTAGATCTCGTCTTTGGCATGTGCGCATACCGAGTTTTCACCCACTCTTGACTTCCGTTACCTAACCGAATTGACTGAGGAGGAGTGCTAAAATTGCAGCTGCGGGCCATTCTGCAGAATGGGGTCCACGTGGCCTACCCTTGTTATTCTCTGACGCTGCATTATCTCTTCTCGCCGAAGTCTGGTGTTCATGTTGACAGTTTCCATTCCGGTCACAGACCGGCACTAGGCCTTTCTCCACTTACAATTCATTTCGGACGACCCTCAAAAGATGATTGGTGGTTGCACTTCAATGAAGAGCTGTTGCCTTCGACGGTTACACCATTTCCCTTCAATATCACGGACCTTTATCTCATAAAAGTCCCATCCGGGTACTTAGGACTAGTTCAGCCGCGGTCGTGTCCGATGACTCCAAATAAATAGTCTTAGTTCGTGCGCACTCGTACTTTTACCGATGTTCCGCCTAATGGGAAGCCGATGGCAGTCCGTGATGCCATTCATGCTTACGAATTGCTCGTTAGATTTTCGTTTTCACTGCAGTAGCGTACTGTCGGTAGGCGGTGACAGTTAACTGGCTTAAGGTTTTGAGGAATGGACCCTGATAAACAGTGGAGGTGAAGAGCAAGGAAAGAACGGTATTAGAATGAACACAACCGGGCATACCGGATTAATGTACCGTTGTCGGGATTGCCACAGGCTACTTCGTAAGCCTAACGTCAAAGGCCCAATATATGGCAAACAGCTTTAACCTGACGGTCCGGCTAGGGAAATCTAATTTACTCACCACTGGTAGGTCATATACCATGTCCTGCGACTCCCAGTCGGGTTAATGTAACCAGCATTTTGGGGGACTCGTCATGAACTGCCTTCCCAACGAATTTTTCGCTGTGGTTCGGAACAGAGGCGATTTGCAGATGGGCATGCGTGTTTTATCCTTGGGTCGCTTTATTCACAGCCTCGGGGTTCCAGGTCTAACCACAAGCTCATTCTCAGCGATGGACTGAGACGTCAGAATCCGCCATTTTGTATCCGTGCTGGCGAAGCTGTAAGCAGCTCTTTTTGAATCACAGTGGGACGTCGAAACGTGAGGCTATGGTGCGTTGAGAGCACGCTTTCCGTAGGAGCCGCTTTGGGGTTTATGTCTACTTGCAGGTCGGTCTGCTTATGCAACGACTGCCCGTCATCCTGCAATTCGTCGACCTCTGCCAAACACCAAATCGGTAATTGAGGCACAGCATGGGTTGTCCTATTTTAGGTGAATGAATTCTCAGTAATAAACCTGTTCCTTTCATGGCCATAGTCCCAGCTCCACCTGTATTTTTTCGTTCTTACTAAGGGCACCGCCCGATTTTGTGTAACTATTCATAATCCAGGGCAACACCCGCGGAGCGAACCAAAATCGTTTTCATGTGTCAGTAGTCCTTGTTTGTGAAAAAGCTTGATGCTGTCCGTCCGCTCGCACCCAGGGTGGGGGTGTACTTCATTATTTTGTCGCTTAACTCTATCGCATAAAACACCTGCCACAGTTACAATCGGATTGGTCCACTTGTTCTCCACCTCGTTGTTCAGGACTGCAAACGATCTAAAAGTTGGTGAATTTGTGTGCCTATGGTGGTTTGCGATACTGTTATCCTCACATTGTGCACATTACACAGCGCCGGATGGTGAAAGATTCCAATGCAGCAGCGATTATATGCCGTTGTGTTCAAATATGCATGGGACCTCTTAGTGTGTAGAAGCAACAAGCACGGATCGTGCGCCAGTTCCCTGTCTTATTGAGTGAATATGCATATGCGAGGTTCTCACCACAGCCTCTTCGAGCGTGTCGAACTGGTCCTCAAGATTTAATGGACGACAATAACTAGTTCACTAGTTTTGTTCTCAACGGTTTGACTTGGTGTTCCTACATTCCTCAGTAGTTTATTTAATGTCATGCGCGCATCGCCGGTTCCAGCCTAGGTGTTTTCCGTCATTGTGTCTTGTTCAACACAACAAGACGCATTGAATCTGTGTCCAAATTCACCGATCGACTATTTAAGTCCAGAAGCTGTACCCTTGTTTTCACGTCCCCTTATAGAAATCAACTTGGGCTGGTTGTGTAATTGCAAATTTTGATCAAAATATCAGTTATTTTAACCATCTACTTGTGGTCTGTTTAGCATTCATTTGCTATAGTCGGGCGTCGACTGCTTAGAGTCATTACCTTGCTTGTATGTTTGTTTTCACACTTTTGGCATAGTTCTTAGTGGATCGCGAAACGGAACCATCGTTTCTATGTCTATCACCCTTTAACCAACTCACAGAAATGCTGGTAGATAGAGTCACTATTCGTGGAGTGTACCTTTTGGGCACCCTTGTTACTGAAGCTCTGCCTAGCGGCACCTGATTCTAATTTAGCTGCAGTTGTCTTGACAAGAATTACTTCTGACCGTTTCTTATGGGGATTAATCATGACTAGTGTATACAATCCGACGGCGAAGGAGCCATGGAGATCGCACTGTGCTCGGTGCAACACTTCACGGGACGGATTCCATCTGGTTGCTGCCTGTAAGTTCTCGCGCCACTGGGAACAGTTTCATTTTCGGATACCGTCCGTCGGTGATTTTAGCCACCAACTAGTGGTCCTGACCAAGAATATCATCATTTCACTTCCTTTACGTCGCAACTACAGGTACTGTGGCCACAGTGCAAAACTCGGCGGGATCAAAGCTACGTTAATGAGACTGTGGATCGTGCGTCATCAGAGGTTTTTCCCCCATTCCTGCTGAAGGCTGAACTAATGACACCAAAATACTGACGAGTCTGCTGAGGCGACTATTGTTGACCAGTTGGTGGCCGTTTAGATATTAATCTTTTTTACACGGTAAACGATCCATAATGCCGCATCGTGAAAGAAAGCATTTGAAATGCAGCACGTCGGTCTGTGTTGAATATTACAGCTATGTGTGACAAGAGTGACGTGCCAGCGTAGTGTCATTGCACATATGTCTTATTGGGCATTATTTCGGTAGTAAATAACGGTCAGAACTTCACGATCAGTTACTCCGAACGTCATTGGTTTTTGGGCGATGCGGTCCGGTTTGAGCACCCAGACCAAGACGATTAGGGTCCTCGAACGAAACCTTTGGCTCAAATGCTTGATCGCAAGGCAGTGCTGTTTGGCGGGAGATGCAGGTGCATTAGCATTTTTACGGAACAAGTCACTGCATGCTCTAATCCGCAACCTGGAGGACCAGGAAACTGTTGATCAGACTAATGACCATTGACCAACATGGTATGAGAGACTGCGAGCGCAGAGCTGATACCCCCCTAGTATAGCTCAATGGATCGCTGATGCACAGAAACCATCTCAGCCCCCTGCTTACATTCATTTTATTGTCTTGCACCCTACCCCACCCAACTGTGAATACTCTCTCCGCAGATCCTAGCGCTAGGACTGACCGCTTTGCTCACCGTGTATCACACTCAGCGGCTTCAATGACAACCCTAATTATTAGATGTTTTCAAACCCCAAAAGAGGTCTACTTAGCTGCCTGTAATATTAGCCCGCTGAAGCAAACAGAAAAACAGGTAACTCTTGCTGGTATGCTGGGTTCCCTCTGGAGATGACTCAGTGGTTAGAGCGCGAATTCACTAACCAGGAGGTCGAGCCCGACTTTTTTGTCTCGATTTTTCCTTTCTAGGCTTAGGCAACTTGGCAGTATTCCACCCCTCGTGCTTCCTACGGGTGGCATGGCGGTTCCCTCTGCGTCGATGTATATTGTCTGTTAAAAGCGAGGATACAGGATGCGATTAGCGTAACTGAGCTGATTGCTACTTCGCACTCTTCCAGGCTCCAGCTGCGCATCTCCGGTGATACAGAGGCCGCTGAGCTGAATACGCTGGGGTGGGTATTGTATTGAGCGAACGACCGGAAGCGTCTCTACCGGATCGGATACCCGTTTACATTCACCTCTGTGCAGTTCATTTGGTGGCATCTGTGAGATAATCTAGAGGAAGCGTGTTCACTCGCGCCCTATTGTGTCTGCTAACGCAATGGCTAACTGTAGCTCCAGATCTGCCAAAGATAGTTCTTATGACGCTCTTTTACAACGGACCAAAACGTCAGACATGGTTGTGGTTGCTGGTGACATGAACGCTAAGGCATGTAGACAAAGCGCTGCTGAAGTCCGACTGGGTGGTCGTTCTAGATTACACACGAGACGCTCGGAAAACGGAGATCGTCTGTTTCAGATGCGTCCCAATCACAGACTGTTCCTTTGCAGTACCAATTTCCGGAACAGCAGAACTCGCTTGATAGCGTGGTGTTTACCAACGAACCAGCTCAGAACCCAAATAGACCACATTGCTGTCGTTTATCGATGGTGAGGTCGATCACTGCCGCTTCTTCTGGAACACCAGCGTGGACTCCGGCAATGCACCTGTACGCCTATGCTTTTCACTGCGCTCTTCAGGTATACGCTAAACGCACACACTTCGCGTAGCCATTGAGAAGCTTGTGGATGCGGAGATCAAACGAAACTATCAGAACTGGCTGTTCGTTCAGCTTCCGGACGGTCAGATATTGGATATAAGCAAATATATCCAATACGCTGGAAACTTGTTTTACAGTGCAACCCAGCCAACCTCGTTTAAACATTGGATCTTTGAATGGACCATGTCTTTGCTGGAGGCCCGGCGTCAGATTATCTCTGATCGCAACCGGAACCCCTCTTGACGCATAATCTGACGCCAGGTGAGATTGAGTGTCCGTACAGACAGAAACTTCGTGTACCGGAAAAGCCGAAGAAATTGAAGATGTAAGAATGATGGGAACCGCAAGTTGTTTCACTCGACTCGTTCGTCTTTGGAAACCTCTTGTCAGTCAAATTATCAGGGACCAAAATGGCTCCCTGATATCCAACAAAGGAGAACGTTTGGACGGCTGGGCAAAGTGCTTCAAACAACAATTCAGTTTGCCACCCGCTACTTCCAGTCCGGGCTGCCGGCCTTCAGCAGAATGGTGGACTTGAACATGGAATATTCCCCAACCTTAGAAGTGTTGGAGTGTGTCTCCACTCTCCACTAGCTCTGTTCAAGAATGGCGATGGAAATCTTTAGCCAGTGCCTGTCTAGTCCAAATGGTTCTATCTTGGAGTAGGAGGCCGTCCCACACAACTGGGGTGAATCGGTAATAGTGCCTCTGTGGTTCTATCAGTAGGAGGCCGTCCCACACAACTGGGGTGAATCGGTAATAGTGCCTCTGTGTAGTAACCACAGAGGTGTTAGTTTGACTGACTCTTTGACAAAGCGTCGCGTCGCTGATTCTTCGTCGTCTTACTCATCATCATCAAGGACAGCAACATCAGTGTTGCCACTGATGCTTCACTGCCGTACAACCATAAGGTTTGTTTAGTTATATTAATATATAATAATCGTATTAAAAGCCCTACAGTGAAGAGAAGAGAAAAAGAGTGGGTGAGGGAGGGGACCTAGTGCTGGCCTATATCAAGCATACTGAGGTGCCTACACCTCCAACCGCTCAATCAGACAATCTGGAAAGAAACTGACAGCAAGAACGCCACTGACATCGACTAGCCGCCATTTCTTGCAACGTCTCCAGCCAAGCACAGACGGAGTCACGGGGACCCCATCCTGCGAGGCGTACAACACCCAAACACTTCGTGATCTCTTTCACGCCTTTCTGCCAAGTCATGTACTGTCCACCTCGCGTTTTGCGCCATCCTGAAGGAGGCACGAAGAACAACACTCGTCTCGGTAGACGGTGTTTCGGCATGCGTAGCACATGACCGAGCCATCGCACTAAACTTGCCAAGCTAACGGTTGACAATTTTCCCAGTACATCACATTTCTTCAGCATCTCAAAAGAAAGCTGTCACACTTGACGAGGCTGGTAATTTAATCAACAGAGTGAAAGACGAATAGTCATGCAGGCAGTCTCCTCTTTCAAAACCGCTGCTGAGGTAAAGTGCAAAGCACATTACGATCCATTGCGGA